GGCCCCAAGAAAAAAAAAGATTTTTTTTCGCAAGCTCCGATCGCAAAAAATTTTTCATAAAAACTCATCATTTGGGTCCAATATCACCCTCCATAAGTTTCATCTGGATCCCATACTCTGAAGCTGAAATCCAGCATGTACAAAAATCCTGGCTACGCCACTGCTGAGCTCATTTCTGAAATTTCTCAGAAAATGACCAAGATTTCATATATGTAAGCGACTGAATGCATGTCAGACGTATCAGTTAATGTTTACTTCTGAAATAAATGACGAGAGTTGTTTCAAGGCATATATGTAGTGCAAGAAAATATTAATATTAAAGCTTAGGATCTATTGTCTGAAGACAGATCGTACTCTACAAACTTTCTCTATTAGATGAAAGTACAAAATGATGAAATGTATTACACGTAACATATAATATTTAGTTTGAAATAATTCACGAAATGAATATCTTTTCATGTTTTATAACTGAAAGAAAGTATTGGAAAACATGATGTAGATTTTATTTTTTTCTGTACAAAAACTGCATTAATGCAAGTTTTTGTTTCTTTGGAAAGTGAAAAGTGACTTGAAGCATCATTGTATACTGCCTTTTCAATAACTTGGAAGGAATCATCAGTGAATATTTGTCAGCTCGAGAAAATCATCAGAATATCTAATTTCAATATTTTCAGAATACAAACTGTATGAAAATAATGTATGTTACAAAGAATAGTAAAAAGTGACCAAAACCATGACGTTCTTATCACTTTTCCAATAGCTTATGAAGGCACACTCAGAAGTGTTTAAAGTTACAAAGTCGAAATTTGCCATGTTTCAAAAAATCTTTGAGTCGGCTTTATTTGTCAAAGGGTATTATTCAGGGAACAAAAAAAAATGTAATTTACACTTTTCGAGACGAGAAATCTGACCTAAACATTTCTTCAAACTACTTGTCAGTACGGATTATTCATCTCTGAAAAGCTTTGGCAAGGATTCATAAGAAGCATAACTGGACCGAACTACGCTTATTCAACAATTTTTATTTATGTGTGTATTGCAGATCCAAATTTTTTACTTCGAGATGACATTTCAATATTATCAACAGTTACTGTAATGCGACTACGCTTAATCTTTTTTTTTTGTAATTTCATTGAAAGCTCATGACAAAAACGATAGATTTTCCCATTTCGAAACTCATGCATCTTTTCAGTTAAGGTTTAGCAGATTTGAAATGACGGATGTTGTTTCGTGATATACAAGGTTCATTGAAGATCCAAAACTGTTAGTGAAACCGATAAGAATTTTATCAACAACCAATAGTGGAAATATCTACCGATTTCGACAGTTAGATATCATCGAATATTCATTAGAATCTACCTATCAGATCTTTTAATGATTCTATAACTCAGATTTCCATTGAATACTGTCGAATAGTCGATTTTTATGAGATCTGATTCAATTCATTCATCTGAATATGCTCTTTTCCAAGAAGTGTATATATTGATAATAACGATTGACTTTTGCATAGAACATTATTTATTTTACTTATAATTTCCTCCTTATAACGGATCCATTATAAATATATTAAAAACAAAAAAGGAAAATTAAGAGTTGTATAATTAATACTACATCTTGTTTATAAATGCAACATGTTAGAATTTATGCGTGTAGATTAATTTAAAAACAATCTGTCTTTTATGTCAGGATGAATGCCCGAGCAAATAATTTAGGCAGACATTGCACATGTCTGAAGATTTGCGTCCCAATTTTGTTGAATGAGATAGAACTTGTTATTAATAACAATATTGTAGTAATACCCGTTTTGATTTGTCCTATTTCCAAAGGTCCAGGCACTAAAATTACAAAATAAAAAACATTACTAATAGATCAATATTTTGGATATAATCTAGGTGATCAGTGTTGTAATTTGTTTCAAATATTACGATGAGAATATTTATTTTTTTGAGGAAGATCAAACTCATCTAGAAGAACACATATCTTTATTCAATTCGGATTTCATAAAAATTATGAATTAATGTTTCTGCATATCTTCATCCCGTTTATAGTTCAACCTATTAACAGGTTATTTGTTTTTTTTTATTCATATATATGAACCGTTCGAATGAAGAAAAAATTAGTTTGAGCATAAATGTAGGCTATAGAATTTATTTAGCTGACAACTATAAGCCTGAACATTTCATAAATTCTGACATAAGATAGTTTCTCAAAATCAATAATCAAATGAAATTATTTGAAATGTATTCACAGAAAAGGATGAGAACGCAAAATACCACTAATTGACTCATTGATTTCTATTTGACCTAGCATTTTGAATCGCACATAAAACGATCGATCTCGACACATCATGAACATTTTACTGTTATTTTGGATATATTTCTATATCAATTCATCGAAAATTTTGTCTTCACTATCTGCAATATTCAAATGTCTGTTTACCGTATGTGACTGCATCAAAACTGATCTGTACAGGTGTTCTGTCTCGATTAATACTTCGGGATTTTTTGCATTCCAGTTAGAGAATATATAGACATTTACAATAACACAAATATAATCGACATCATTAAACTTGCTTATTTGATCATATCCGGAACACTGGTCATATGATTATAAAAAGGTATAAAATCTAACCGAATTTGTACATTGTCTAAGCAATATTTCGACAACAACAAAATATATGTTTCTAATTTTCCTGATATAGCTAAGGAACAGAGTAGCATTGAAAATGCCATCAAATACGTAGTGGAGACTAATAGGTTGATCACTTGAGAAATACTTAAATGTTTTATTCTTGAAGTATAACTTCTTATTTTATTCTAGAACGTTGTTTACTGTATTTTGGTCGGACGTAGTGTGTTTGAGACAAGAATGATGTGACAAATGATTGATCACTTGCCCATGAAATGGAAAAACGTTTCCTGATGGTCTAGTGTTTAGAACATCCGTCTGACAACTATAAGATCCACAATCAGTTGATATAGCAGTTTGCATATCAGTTACTGGAACTGGTTCCTATAGTAATCAATTAGTTTATTCATTAATAATTATTCGTTGATGAGTCATCAATGAGTATCTAATATGTATAATTACCGTGGAATAAAAAAAGAAGAAGAGATTTCTTACAAGAAAGCTTCTTTTACTGAAGCTTTTCCGAAATAAAATAGCGCTAGAAAACTGTATTTGACAACTTATTCAAAAATACTTTGCTTCTCTACTTACCACTTATCCGCATTTTCATTCTTGTTAATATCGCGCCATGCATTCAACCATGGATCGGACATTGCTTCCACTATTTCATGTGCCACAGGAGTCAACATGGCGTCAACACCGACATCACCATTAGGTGAAACAAGCTTATTGTAGACACTACAACTGTTAATGCACTTTTGCGGATTTCCTATAAATCCATAGATGTATTTTGAAGTTCCACGAGAGAATGTCGAATGATATCCACAATAGCTGTTACAGAAAGATGAAGTAGTTGTATAGTTTTCTTTCACATCTGAAGAACTGAGCAACAAGTAGATTGCCCGTTGATCATTTGGCAGTTGTCCTTTCGTAATATGATTGTAAATTATATCTTTTATACTCGTACCAGTAAGTTGAGTACCATTAGTGTAGTTATTTGTCGTTGTGTTTCCAAGAGTAAGTGGACCTGTTGTGTATACCTTGGAACTTGTGTTTGAGATTTGAAAATAGTAAGTCTTTTCGATGTTGAACCATGATGTACTTCCAATTGTTGAAATGAATGTATTGACAATATTTTGTTGATTAGTAGTCCAATTACCATAATACTGTACATAAAAGGACGCAACTGAACAAATAATAAATAAATCACTTGACGATACTCACCACAATATGGACGTTGGTAGCTCCAGTTAATACAAGAGCACCCATAGTATACGATATATTATTGGTGGTTGCTGCAGTTCCATTGTTATTTGCGTTTCCATTGTAGACTTCAAATACGGAAAACTTATCATGTCGAATTGCAGCATGCTCTGTTGATTCTGAAACGGTATAAAGTGTTTCAATTTTCATAAATGCCTTAGCTTCAAAACGTTGAGAATCTAATGAGAAATTTTTTTCAACATTGCCTAAACTAGACTTTGAATAGTCATGAAATTCAACTAGTGACAAGAAATCTTAACAGTGACCAAATAGCAATCATGCTTTATAAGCCTATCGTAATAGAACTAGATGTCAATCAGAAAAAAATAGTCGGCTAATTTGTTTTTACGTGTATGTGTATCAGAAATTTGAATAATGAAAATTTCGCTTTACAAATGAAGTTTCTATGATACTACTTAGTCAAACGAATAAACATATGAATTGATCAGATAACTTTATTATGTAAGTGGAACAGAGAAATGTCGAAATAAATTTATTTACAATGATACTCTGAAAAGTCTTCTTAGTTATTACATTATCGTACAAAAGATGCGTATCTATTGTGACGAATATTCTTTTTGTAGAGAATCTACTCATTTCTTTTTTGTTTTTTATTTAAATAAAAATAAAATTGACTATTTTAAGTGAACTAAAGAATATCTATTACAATAAGCATTTTATTATAATTTTATTTGGATTGACATCTATTTTCTTACCTTGCCCTTTAGCTATGGCATGATTCAAACTTCTACGCTTGAGACAATTCGTTGGTTTAATAACACTTGCAACGATGATAACTGCTAACAGACAAAAAGTCCAAGTCAACTTCATATGCACCATATTGTCTCTAACTGCTGCATTAAATGTGAAGATAAAACGATTTGTACACGTATATTTTTCTTTACAACTTACTTCTAATATTGCTTTATGTTCAGAAGAATAACGAAAAATGAATGATTACAATAGACAAAAAGCACTGACTTATATATGTTACCTTTGTTGTCGTTATTGTCATTTTTACTGAACCCAAGCGTTATAATTCGAAAACAACAACATAAGTACCTAACTCATTTTTCTAGGTAGTCATTGGACTGTCTCGTCAAAAATGCATACGGATAGAATAAAGTTAACGATATGAAACGTGCAAAAAAGAAAAACAAACGAATGTACTTTCTTTTTCTATAGGACAAACGCTGAATCATATTCGCAACGCGCAATATCTTGTTAGTTATAAGTAGAATTACTGTGTGTTGCTCTTTGGACTTTTAGAAATGTATTAGATATGAGGAATATAAACTTTTCTAATACATAATTTATATAAGTAGATACATTAAATAAAGAAAATTATTAAAACACATCAAAACAATGCATTATAAATTAGATTTTATTCATTATGTGGTGTCTCACTCAACGAAAGCATCGTTTTCAAGTAATAACTATATAAAAAAAACATAATCGAAACAATATAATGATTCTCTCATTACTACGTACAATTTAAAATAATATAACTAGCATAAGCGGACACACACGCATACTTAAAAATGATATTGTTAACTCATCGAAGTATCGTAAAATAGAAAAACAATCGACTTAAAATACAGCAATTTCATTTTCATTAATTTTCCTTTATTTATTTTCTTGATTCACATAAATTATGTTATTTGCGAAATGTACATAATAATCTGACAATCTACATATTATTTCTATTACGTAGTTCTTGTCATTATCATGGCATAAGAATAACCTTCTTCAACTGATAGAAATGTTGCAGAATGAGTAAAATTCGATTTAAAGCATACTATTTTAAATTTCATTTAATTCTACTCAATGAATTCATCAGTTTTATTGGATTTTACTATTTTTAAATTGTACATAGTTGTCGTGGAAACTATTATATATCATATGAATTGACTCTTTTTATTGTTTTTATTTTACAAGTCATAGTTTAGGTGACAAAAATCTCGTAAAACTAATAAAATTTCATTTAAAATACACTATTTTCAGTTTTATTAAATTTCTCTATGTAATTTGTCTATTCATATAAAAATATGCTATAACAGGTTCTATACTCTTCGTATTTTATCATTTTTTTTAAGTTCAAAAGAGCATTACACGATGGATGTACCTATCACTAATAAGATATTGTATGTTGCACATGTGATTATGTGATCATGTGTTGGCCTTGAATGAAGAAAGAGTACATTTATTTACTTTTGTACATTTTACCTCAATCACATTTATTCGTTTGTTTGCAATTATTGTAAAATTATATTATGGGTGCATCACAAGATGAGTAATCAATGAGTGTCTTCTTTTTTCCGCTATCATGTTATCATCCAGAACACACAATGATTATGGCAATAGAACTGAAATATACAAGTAGTTGGTCTTATTATCTCATGTAGACTTTTCTTGTGTTTCGACTGTATTTTAGAAAGAAATACCAATATTACAAATTATTCTTTACATTCTTTTTTTCCCAATATTACATGAAAACAAAACAGATGATTACTTGAGGGAACAGTCCAAACTATTCATGTAGTTAATTTCTGTTGTCGTAGTATTTCTGATTTTTGAACAGTAATTTAATAGTTGAAAAGAAAAGCATTATTGATGACTTATCTTAAAATGTCCTCGTTACATAAATTCAGAACAAATACAAATGCATCGGTTACTGTTTTCGATATAACATAGATAGGAAGAAAAAAAATACTATTCTTTGCGTCTAAGCTATACACAGTCATGCATACTTGCTTGAAGCAACATATAATTGCTCATAGGTATAATCATCATGTGTTGCACTTGCACTTTTTACAAAATAATAAAGTACGAAGATTATAGAATTTTCTTTAGCATAATGTACAGCTAATGTTCCTAATAAGAACAGCTATCTCGGAGGTGCGAGAAATTTCGTTATTCATTCAATTATTTTATATGAAAATTGAGAATTTTTTTATATTTTCTAGTAGAAAAACGTTTGCTCAGTTAAATGATACAAAAACAAACGTCAAATATTTCCAGAAATAAAATAGCAGTTGGCCGTAATTTGCGAATGATTGAATTTGTTCTTATTATGAGCTCTGTTCCTAATAAGAACAGGCTATGTAAAATGCACAGAAAATAAAATATTTTTACTAAGTCAACTTTTTTATGCGTATTCTTTAATTGTAGAAAGTGAACACAATGATGAGAAAATTTTTTTGTTTTTTAATAAATGAATATATATATATATTTTTTTTTTAATTTTTATTTTTCAATTAATATACAAATAAATAAATAAACATAAACAAAAAACAAAAAGAAACAAAAATAATGAATAATTACGCTAGGCCTTTCGAATTGTTCTTTATCAAGCGATATTTTATAAGAAATATTTGAGTATAATTGGGTATAATTTGGAATCAACAACAAGTTCAATTGTGTTATAGTGGTTTTTTGTTGCATATCTGATGGATATTTGTTAAATAATGTATTTTAATGCATTTTTTATGAATTTTTTATTGTTGTTTTTTAATTGTTTATATTTCTGGCTGTATCTTCGTAGATTTTTAATAATATCCGATAATGCATTTTAATGCATTAAACAATGTTTTCCATAATGGCTTTTTTGATAATTTTTTAGTAATGCATTATACTACATTTCTCCATTATAATAGAGTCTTTTGATAATTTTTAATAATTCTTTATAATTCATTTTTTATTCTTTGTAACCATCATAGAGTTTTTTGATAATTTTTTATAATAATGTACTTTAGTAAATAAGGACATGGATAAGGGAGAGATATTGTTTACAATCAAAAGTATGAAGATGAGGATAAAGGAAGACATGAGTACATAAATAGATAGAGATAGATTAAAGAATGTTTTTCATATACAATATTTGATGAGAAAGAGTATATAAATAGACAGACATAGATCATGATCATGAAAAATATTGAAGCATGATTTTTCTTAAATACTATAATAAATAAGAGAAGATTCATACACAGATAGATTTCGAAAAATATTGGAGAATAATTTTTCAGGATATAAATTCAATTCGGGAAGAAAAAAAGATTCAATAGAATGACAGATAAGTGAATGATATTTCAATGTTACAATAATTAGAGAAGGAAAATTCTTATAGAGATAGATTTACAATATATATGTATTTACATATATTAATGAATGTTTTTTCATATATATAATAATCAATCAGACAAGATTCCTACATAGATAGATCTCGAAAAATATTGAAGAATGTTTTTTCGAAGATTACAAAAACTTTTTAAATTGAGAAAAATTCGTCATAAGATCGATTGAAGAATAATATTTCAATGTTACAATGTTACAATAATGAATAGACGAAGATTAAAAAATGCAGATTTAGAGAGAGATTGCAGAAGGTTTTTTAACAATACATTAAGTAATAGATTTAAATACAGATTAAGAATGAGTTTTTGATTTTACAGTAATCAGTAGAAGAGAAAATTCATCAAAAAAAAAAATAGTTTCATCATAAAATAGTTTTACAATATTTTATTATAGAGACTTCATAGATAGATAGATTAGAGAATATTTTTCAACTTCATAATAATTATTGAGAGAGAGCGAGAGAGAGACTTCTTATAGAGACAGACTTAAATGGAGATTGAAGAAAGACAGATTTGAATGGAGATTGAAGAAAGACAGATTTGAATCGAAATATAGATTCTGATACAAATTGAAGAATGCTGTAATACAATCTTTCTTATTAATAATTCTTGTGCTTTTTTCTTTTTCTTTCATGAGGTAAAGATCTGCTATTGTGGTTGAAGTCTCAATATATTTTTGTTTGGTCGTTTCTTTACTAGTAATTGCTTCAAATTATCAGTTAGTCTATTGGCATAAATTATATGTGCGTTATCTAATGATATTTCCTCAAAAGTTTCTTTCCATACTCGGTGGAAAGTTGTACCGAAACGTGCCAATGCTGACATATATGAAAAATGGCAAAGTATATCATTTCGAAAATCTATTTTTCTTTTTTCTTTTTTGTTCCATTGTTCATCTACTGTTCGCCTCAAAAGTATTGTACCACTTTTTTGTTTTGGCTCGCGTTTCAAACTATATGACTTAGATTCAATTTTCTTTTTTTCTTCAGATAGTACAGCTCGAGTACAATATGTATA